TTAGTGTAGACCTGGCCTTAGTTCAAAAGGGTGTAGCAGTGTAAGTGGATGGGGGGTGGATCCTCTTAGCGCTTGCCAATCTATCCACTGCCTTTAATGAGAAGAGTGTGTTGATACTGCTTTTTATGTGTTAGCCCTGCAGAGTCAGCATAGGTAACAGACAATGAGTTGGATTCTGTTCCTGCTTGTGCAAGAGTAGAATTGATTTTTTTCCATAGATTTTAAGGCCAGAAGGGACCATTAGATAAATCGTCTGGTCCAGTCCAAAAGTCCCAAACCTTTTGGGCTCAGAACCAATTTTTAAACTTTGATGGCATGTTGTGATCCAGTAAATAGACCCAGAAGGGTGGGGGAGTCGGGGCCCTGCCCTCCAGTGGTGGGAGGGAGGCCCTGTGTGTTTTTTGCAAAGCCTGCCCTGCGCTCACTCACAGAGGTGCTATTTCAGATTTCAGTGTGGGAGGGGGCACAACTTTCAGCAGCGGTCCAGGGTCCTCTGAGGCCCCTGGAAGCGCTTGTATTTTTAAATGGCCAAAAAGATTATCAGGCCAGAAGTTACTTGGACAATCTTCTCCTCCAATTCTGGTGTGAACTCTAGGTTAGATTCCTATGTCTGCCTCCCTCTTTACTCCTCACCCCAAATCACCAGCAAGTTTCTCCCCTGCCTGAGGACTCTGGGATTAGCTTCCCTCTGGGATTTGTATTGCTTCTTTCAGGCCTTGTATTTGGTCACAGTATCATTAAATCTGAAATACGCAAGGGTTGAGACTAGCCAGAGCAACAGAAAAGTATTGGTTTTAAGAAAAGTGACTTTTTAGAGGCAGAGTTAGGGCCAGTATTTCCACTAAGACTGCACTGTTAAGTTTGAAGGACTTTTTCTTCTGCCTATGATGTACAGCCCAGCCACTCGGGCTGCATGCTGGGGTCTAAGATGTGGGTATTTGTGTATATTTAAACTACATGCTTTTCTGTAATTCTAGAGGTTTTTATATATATATTATTTTGTAGCACTATATTCATATATATTGCATAACCAAATAATGAAAGTACCCATTGTAATGCAAACATACAAGGAGACAGAGTTAAGGTTGTGGGAGCCTAAGTCACCTGTGTGTGTTTGTTTCTGTACTTAAAATACTTCTCATTCCATTAGCTTTTTGTATATAATTATGTAATATATAGGAAATAACTATGAAGAAATCACTGATCAGGTTACGATTGAAATTCCTTTTCACTGTCCAAGTAGGGTAAAGTACAAAAGATACTATGTGAATA